CACACACACCCCTACTCAGCGACCCTCAACCCCAGACCAAAGGTCTACCAGTACCCCAGCTGCTTCACCCTCAAGGGACAGCTTGTCTCCAGAGGCCCCCAGATCCCAGCTACCCACTGGTCATTGTACAGCACATACCAGCCCCCACACCCTTCCTTATTCTGACCTGGGCTGGTCCCTGAGTCCACCCCTCGGTGCCCATTGAACCGCACTGGGCCTGGAGTGTCTGCAGGGAGAGGACTAGTCATTGGAGTGGCTTCTTCCCTGCTTCCCCTGCTGTGCTTCCCAGGTCACCTGCCAGGTGAACAACCAGCCCCATATCCTTGTTTGCCTTCTTTCTCTGGAAAACCCAACCCAGGGCACGGTACCAGCCCTCGGCTCCCCCCACCCCATCCCCCACCCCCCACGGTGGCACCCTCCCCTCTGGGCCCCTGGTTATTGATCTGGGAAGTTGGACAGCAGTGTCTGCACTGCCTCCACCACTGTCTGGAACAACAGACAGCTGCGCACACCCGGTTGTCACCATGCTTGGGAGTCTTGTTCTCAGCCTGGCAGGGTTGCGACTGACCTGCCTGTTCCACTCTGGCCCCGACAGCCATCGATTTTCTGGAGAAGATCCTCACCTTTAACCCCATGGATCGCTTAACGGCTGAGATGGGGCTGCAGCACCCTTACATGAGCCCCTACTCGTGCCCCGAGGATGAGCCCACCTCACGCCACCCCTTCCGCATCGAGGACGAGATTGACGACATCCTACTGATGGCCTCCAACCAGAGCCAGCTCTCCGCCTGGGACAGGTGTGGCTCCAGAGGCCCCAGGCCTGCTGGCTCCAGCCCCCACCCCCACCCTCCCTTCTCTTCTTTGTCTCTGCAACCAGTCCTTCTGTCCTCCAAGCTTGTAGTCCTTTGGTTGCTTACCCCAACTTGGCTTCCTGTGCTTCTCTCTCCTGCCCCCACACCCACCCAGTAAACAGTCAAACCCCAATGCGCCCAGCTGGGCCTCGCCTATATAGGTCAGGGTCCTTCCTCTCTGCACACAGTCCCCACCAGAGTGGGCTGAGCACAAGACTAGATACAGCATTGAGCAGAGTTTAAATGAGCACCTCCTCTGTCTGACCCAAACCCAAACCCAAACCCACTTCCTGAAAGCCTTTGCAGCAATCCGGAAAGACAGAGTAGAACTGGCCCCTTGAGTTTCCAAGGCTGTGAGTCTTGAAACAAGCACACAGCCACGTCTTTCTCCTACAGAAGGGCTCGTGGGCTCCTACCACCCATCTTCTGGTTAGCGGCTGATAACCACTGTGCTTTAACCACCGTGCCACGGGGTTCCTCTACTGTGCATACGAAGCCCACACCCAGTGCCCCCAACTCAATCCCGGCTCACAAGGGCCCTGTGGGACTGCGTAGACCTTCCCCATTGCGTTTTTGAGGTGGTACATCTCTATGGCAACCCACAGCTTCACTTTCCTCCTGAGGAGTGGCTGGTGGGCCTGACCGCTGACCTCGCAGTTAACTGCCCAACACAACGCATAACCTACTGCGCCACCAGGACACCAACAGAAGTCCGCCAAACACTCCACACTCACTGCCATCTGGTCGATTCTGACTCGTGGTGACCCGACAGGGCACAGCAGAACTGCCCCTGTGGGTGTCCAAGGCTGTAACGCTTTACAAGAGTAAAAAGCCTTGTCTTTCTCCAATGGAGCAGCTGGTGGTTTTGCACTGCTGACCTTGTGGTTCAGCAGCCCCATGCATAACTATGCCACCCAGCAAGGCCACCGAAGAAAAGACCTGGTAACCTGCCTCTTCAGATGGTGTGTTAGGCAGGGTTCTCTAGAGAAACAAAACCAAGACACTTATGATTTTGTATATATGTATATAAATGTATATAAGAGGACAGATAGATACAGCAGGAAGGAATATAACAGCTAATTAGTCTACACAGCAATACAGAGGGCTCAGTTCAACTCACTTCCATGAGACAGTTAATACAGTGGAAGTCCTTCAACTCACGAGGGCCACTGGGTCCAAACTGTCCAGGAAGCAGACAGCTGAGTCTTCTGTAGAGCAATGCAGGCAGTCTGGCTACAGGCAGCAAACAGCAGGGCAGGTTACCAACAGTCAGCAAGATGACAGACTCCACAAGCTCAAGCGATGTATACACCAGCAGCATGGTCTTGAAGGAACCTCAAGCTCTAGGGACATGAGCTTGGCTATCCTACAGGTAGTGTAGCTCAAAACTTGAGGCAGAGAACTCACTAAAGCAGCTGCACACTGGTCTGATCACCAGAAAGCAAGGGAGAGAGAGAGGCTGGGCTTGCTGAGCCATATTTCTCTTTGCCCTCCAATCAAACTGTGACCTTATTAATCCCACATATTCCTATTGGCCAGGTTGGCACAATAAACCTACCCATCACAAATGGTTATTGCATTCCATCAAGTCAGTTCCGGTTCATGACGACCCCATAGGATGGAGTAGAATTTCTCCCCAAGGCTGCGAACTGTGGGTCGTGGGTGGCCCATCACCCTTCCTGTCAGCAGCTGAGCAGTCAACCCTTGCTTTGCCAGGGCACCTTCCATGAAAATGACAGTCAGGAAACCACTCCACAGCAAATGACAATGGCTGCCTGGGGATCTGAAGAGCCCCACAGAGGGGGTTCACCTTGAGCAGGCTGGAAATGTGTTCTTGCCAAGAAAACTGCCGTGGGACCAGGCAACGCACACACACAAAACAAGCAAAACTGCCCATTCATTACAAAGCCCTTGCATGTGTGTTGTACCATTTGCACTTCCCCTGGCTGTGCCATCGAGAGGGCTCCTTCATGGAGGTTTTCCCAGTGACACGTGGGGAAGCTAGCGCTCAGAGAGGTTAAGGGATTGCTCGGTGTCACACAGGTCATTCTTGGCCCAGGTGGGGCCCTGCCCTATCTGCATCCATGTCAGACACTGCTAAACAATGATGGGATTTTTTTCCATCAATAAGAGCCCTGGTGGCATAGTGGGTTATGTGTTAGTCTGCCAATCTCAAGGTCATCCGTTCAACCCCACCAACCGCTCAGTGGGAAAGCTATGGCTGGCCGAACATTACAGCTTCAGAAACTCCATGGGGACGTTCTACCCGGTCCTGCAGAGTTGCAGAATTGACTCACACTGGGACTGTGCGTTTGCTTGTGTTTTACTTTTCTTGCCAAATGGGCGCCAGCCTCAGAATCCATCTTAGCACTATGGACAAATGAAGACTGAGGAGAGGACAGGTTTCGCTATTAAAAAATAATAAGAATACATGTCTGCTTAGGCCCTGACTACATTGTGCCAGCCCCTCCATTCTGGCATTCTTAGACCCTGCAGCTAAATCCTGGGCCAGCCCCATCTGCTAATCCTGGGCGGCAGTGTTGGCAACTGCTCTGTTTAGAAATAGAAGCCGAGGAGGGCTAAGCAGCTAGAACTCTGAGGGGGCCCAAGTGGGAGTCCCAGTGCCATGGGAAGTGACAGCTAGTTACGTAAATGACAGATGAGCAGTGTCTTCTGTTCAGTCACATGACAGATGATAGCTTTCTGAGAAAGAGGCGCCACAGGAGGGCCAGGGCAGCACAGCTATTTTGGGATGAGCCTGTTGGTTAGTGGTGATTGGTAATTCTTGTCCCCATCAGTTGGAAATTAAGGAAGCCTCTCTCTTCTGCCACTCCGTTTGAGGCCTTGACTCTGGGTCCTGCAAGCCCCCACTCCACTCCACAGCATTGGGGGCCCCAGAGCACTGGCTCCCTGAGCCCCATCTGAACAAAGCTTGTCACAGCAGCGGCTCAGGGACAGCACAGTGCCAGTACAAACTGCAGCAGAGTTGCTTTGCTGCCCAGCCAGCAACCCTGACCAGCTCTCTCTTAGCGGGAGCACCTGAGCACTGCCCTTTCCTGTCCCACCTGCATGAGGGAGACAACAGGGCGCGAGGCCCTTCCTGCAGGCTCAGATGCTTTGGGCAAACCACTGGCCCTTTTGGAACCCCAGTTTCCTGTGGACAAAGCAGAACTGAGGACACAAACTCCCAGGATTGCTAGGAAGACAGCAGGTCATCAAGGCATGCACACACACACACACACACACACACACACACACGCACACACGCACGCACAGCATGGAGCAACCAAGAGCCTGGGTCTTCTTCCTCCCAGAAACCCCTGCAGTTTTCAGATACTCCAGAGAGAGAGTATGCTCGCCTCCAGGAGTGATTTTTGTTCTAAAGGCTTCAGTCAGTCACGGTCAGTTCAGGGGCCTCCATGCCCCATGGCCACAGCCAGGGGATGGCTGTTGACCTATCTACCTGTTTACATACCCAAGCCAGCCTGTTCTTGGTTGCTGGTTTTCCTGTGTGAGCACTAGGCGGCCTGTCTGGGGACCAGCTGGCTGCTGGCTGACGCCTGCCCTGGACTCCCTACATCCCCTCAATTCTGCATGAAGCCCCTGGCCAAGGGGGAAGGGCTTTGCCTGAGCTGACAGTCCATTAGTGGTCCTGGTTAGGAACCCTGGTGACAGCGGTGAGAGTACCCAGTTGCTAACGGAAATGCTGTTTTGAGCCCACCAGCCATGCCATGGGAGAAAGATTCACCAGCCTTGGAAACCCTCGGGAGCACTTTTCCTCTGTCTTGTAGAACTGCTCTGAGTGGGATCCACTCAAGAATGCACAGCCTCAAAAGTTGACTCTGAATTCCATGGCACAGGACAGCCACCAGGAGCCAAATCCCAGGGACCCTGATCCTCTCCAATGACTTACTCGCTCCCATCCAGTCAATGCGGACTCCTAGTGAACCCCTCTAGGTTTCTGAGACGGTCAGTGTTTACTGGAGTAGAAAGCCCACTCTCTCTCCCACGGAGCTGCTGGTGGTTTCGAACTGCCAACCAGGAGGACCACAGCCTAACGCATAACCACTACACCGCCAGGGCCGCTGAGTTTCTCCGATGCTGCCTATAATGGGTCCTGGGCCCCCAGGTTCCACCTGCTCTGCCCCTCTACAGGGTGCTGAGATCCACCAGGGTCAGGGTCGCAGCCTAAGTTGAGCCTTAGAATCACCTAGCAAGTTTAAAATCAGAGTGAGGCAGCTCCCCACCCTAGACCAGCAGAACCAGAATTGGGATTGCAGGCATTTTATTTTATATCCTCCATGTGATGCTAAAAGGTGCCCTCGTGGTATAGTGAGTTATTCGGGGGGCTGCTTACCACAAGGTTAGTAGTTCGAACCCACCAGGCACTCCAAGGGAAAAAGATGAGGTTTTCTGTTCCCATAAAGATATACAGCCTCAGGAACCCAGGGGGACAGTTTTACTCTGCCCTGTAGGGTCACTATGAGTCGGCCTGGACTCGATGGCAGGGAGTCTGGTTTAGGATGTGATGCTAATCTGCCAACGAGGACCAGCAGCACAGGCATTGCCTGGGAACTTGTTTTAAAGACAGAGCTACTGACCCAGAATCTGCATTTCCTCAAGATACCCATTTTAGCAATACCCTGCTCAGTATGCCGCTGGAAGGACCCTGGGTGCATTGGGAGTGGGGAGCACCCAGTGAGCAGGAAATCCCTGCTTTGTTCCCTCCTGGGTTGCAGGACTGCCAAGAACCAGGGCCGGCACATCGTAGATGCTCAATAAGCATGTGCAGGGCTGCATGCAGAGGCCTCGCTCTCTAACATACGGCATGTACCCCGGGTGCCACTTGAAGGGGGCGCCACTGAGCAGTTCCTCTCCTCTTCCTAAAACACGGGGACCATGTTGCCTGGAGCTGTCCCCACCCCACCCACTCAAGTCCCTGCAGGTGCCAGAAGGGGCTGGGAAGGACGTTGCAAGGTGCCGCCAGGGCTTCAACCTGTTCATCGTGAAATTGGGGTGAGGGGTCATTTAGAAGTTTCCCCTGGCGTTCTCCTTGCTGGGCCCCTGTATGAAGGAATGCCAAAGAAACCTCACTGCCTTAAAGGACCAAGTCCAGCACCAGCACCTCTCCCCACCCCCCACCCCTGGGCCCTCAATGCCCACATCACCCTCTCATTTTGGGGGGAGGACTGGGCTTCCTCCATGAAAATGCCCACGCTGGGGGTCCAATCACCGCTCCGTGTATCCCATGGCAGGTACCCCGTGAGCCTGTCGTCCGACCTGGAATGGCGGCCCCAGGATGCGAGCGAGGTGCAGCGCGACCCCCGCGCAGGCTCGGCGCCGCTGGCCGAGGAGGTGCAGGTGGACCCACGCAAGGACTCGCAGAGCAGCTCGGAGCGCTTCTTGGAGCGCTCGCACTCGTCCATGGAGCGCGCCTTCGAGGTCGACTACGGGCGCTCCTGCGACTACAAGGTGGGCTCACCCTCCTACCTGGACAAGCTGCTGTGGCGCGGCGACAAGCCGCACCACTACTCGGAGCCCAAGCTCATCCTGGACCTGTCGCACTGGAAGCAGGCGGCTGGCGCGCCCCCCACGGCCGCGGTGGCGGGGGACGCGGTGGCGCGCGAAGAGGAGCCTGCCAGCCTCTTCTTGGAGATCGCCCAGTGGGTCAAGAGCACGCAGGGCGGCCCCGAGCGTGCCAGCCCGCCCCCCGACGACCCCGGGCGCCACCTGACCGCCTCGCCCCCAGGCCACCCCGCCCCCAGCGACGAGGGTGCCAGCCCCCAGTTCGACCTGGACGTGTTCATCTCGCGGGCGTTGAAGCTCTGCACCAAGCCCGAGGACCTGCCGGACAATAAGCTGGCCGATCTCAACGGAGCGTGCATGCCTGAGCACCCTGGCGACCTGGTGCAGGCAGAGGCCTTCTCCAAAGAAAGGTGGTGAGGGATGAGGGGGGCGCTGGAGATGAAGGGTCTCTCCTCGGAGCCCCACCCCAGGGGTGGGTCAGTGCCTGGGGAAGCAGGGCCTGACAGGAGCCAGCCCCCCTCCCTGCTCCCTGGGTTAGCAGACCACAGTGAAGGATCCTAGGAGCGAGAGGAATGTCCAATTCCCTAAACTGCCTTAATAACTAGCCTTTAACCTCTGGGAGTGGGTTGGAACAGGAGCCTCCCTTGGGGGCTGTCCACAGCAGGGAAGGCCTGGGTGTCTTGTGAGGGGACGAATCAGAGCCTTAGGCCTCTGCAGGTCTTACCTGGGTGTCCGGATAGAGGAAGCCGGCAGACAAGGCGCTGCATCCATCTGGCAGGAAGGACAATGAGTCAGGCCTCAGCAACCAGCTTTGAGATGGCAGGTGAGTCAGGGCCAGGCAAGCCTGGCATCCCAGTCTCTTGTACCCAGGGCAATGCCTGCCTCCCCACCAAAGTCTTTCTCTGCCAGGGCCCTCTGCCCGTCCAGTCTGAAAACCTGGGCCAAGACGTCTCTTCCCTGCCCCTTCCCGCCTGGCCTGTTCAGCTGGCCTTTCATCAAATCAATGTTTCTCATTTTCAGAAACCGGCAAGTAGCCAGGAGACATACCCCCCTCATCACCAAGAAATTTTTTTTTCTGTTTCCTCAAGTGCTTAAATGTTCTCGCCTGCTGCACCCCCATATTTCCCGCCCCCATCCACCCCATGTAGTCAGAAGTCTTGGTTTCAGGCCAGACCCTACTGGGGGCTCCATGTACACGCCAGCCTCTCCCAGGCCAGCACACACAGCTCTACAGCACGTCCTGTGCATTTTCCCGACACGCACGCATGCACGCACACCCAAAGAGACGGCCCTGGGTCATCACAGATGAGTCCGAGGACAAGCCATTCCATGAATCCCCTAGCCCCCTCCCCAGGACCCCTCATACATCACCACCACCCCACGCACCCAGCTCCTCTCCAAGCCTACCTTGGGCGGGCCCTCCTGTTCTCTGCATGAACAGCCCATGCCAATGGCAGCCCTGAGCGTCCTCCACGAAGGAAGCACGCCACCTTAGAAGGCTTCGCCGGAACTGGGCGTGCTTCTTGAATCCTGCCCCTTGGTTGAAGCATCCATTGAGCCCACCCCTGTAAGCATCTCCCTGGTAAAGAGCACACCCTACAGAACTGTGCTGGAGACCTAGAGACATGGGAGCAAGGAATCCAGAAAGGAATGGGAGTGGCAGAGTGCCACCCTGAAGGCCTGCAGGCTCAGGAACCAGCCTGGGGACCACAGGCCACAGGAAGGGATGCCAAGCAACCTTGCCTCTCTCAGCTTAGGCCAGAATGGCTTTGCAGCTGGAAAACTCAGAGGTCCACCACACCCAGACCCTGGGGAGGCAGGGGGTGGACTTCACCGGCCCTCGGCAAAAGCATGGGGTGCACCAACAGTCCCCCCAAACCCAGTCCAGGGGAGCACCTTGCCATGACCCCCACTGGAACTCAGCTCTTCTCACGCACCCTGCCCTAGAGTCCCCAAAGACACCCACAGGAAGTCTGGCCAGTCCGGAAGTAGAGGATTCCCAAATCCACTCACCTCGCAGCACCTTAAATTGAATCTGCTCACTACAGTTTGTACGCTGAAACCTGCAGCACGGTAGACAGTTACATTTGGAAAACGCAGACCTCACCACATTGACCACTTTTTCAACAGAAAGTATATAAATAGAAAGTGTCTGGGAGCTTTTTGTTTCATTATTTTTTAACAATTAAAAAAAAAGATAGGCCGCCTTCCCCAACCGCCCGCCCCACGTGCCATTTGCCCTGATAGGGTGGTTTCTCTTTGTTGGTACAGGAACACACTGCTGAGGGTGACTGGGAGTTTGATAGATGATGGTGGTTACAGAAGAATTGTTATTACTACTCATGTTTTGAAAGGGGGGATACAAATCTATTAAAGGCTTGATCTGGACAGGCCAAATAAAGTTTTACTGGAGCATAACCACTTTCCTTTCTTTCTTACCGGCTCCCCTCTTGAGCAGCAACTGGAGTCTCAGAGCCTGTCTGGCTTCCTCATGGCAACACAGAAGGCCAGTGGCCTTAAGGTTGGAGGAGAGGAGGAATCCCTGCCGACTGGTCATCAGAGTGGCGCCAGAATCCTCTGGGTCAGGGCTGAGGACCATGTTGTGGATCTCAAATCCAATCCTTGGGGAACAACTCCACCTCTGACCAAGGCTGGCCCTCCCCTCTGGTCCCAAAAGGCCACTTACTTCCATCATGGGAGCTGGGGGAGCGAACAGTCAGCCAGAGCCACACCTCACAGAGGCCATTTCCGCATGAATGGCACTCATCTCAAATTCCTGCCCATGGGGTCAGACCGGCCCTTCTGCACACTCAGCCCAGCACCCCCCTTAGGGGCAGGTGTAGAGCCTGCCAGTCCTGCTGGGAAGCAGGAAGGGTTAGAATGGCACAAAGCTCTGGCCAGGAGCACAGCCTTCTCTGCCTCAGTTGCGGAGTTGCTAACCAGTAGACACAAAGAGAGAGAGAGAGGAGAGAGCTATATAGCTTCTCCACTTTCATTCCTGGGCTCTCTACTGAGGTCAAGCTTTCCAAGCCCAGGGAATGTGTGGGCAGGTTCAAGCCCATGCCCTTACTTCGGGCTGTTTTCACTGCTCTTCCGAAGTAAGAGGGTGGCCGTTCCAGGGGCCACTGGAGTTGGATTCTCATTGGCTGGAGTTGGTTCCCTCCACCAGCCCAGGGATGGTGATTGTTGGGCAGGCGGTAGCTTGAGAAGAAGGGGAGTATGGGAAGCCAGCCTATGACCTGCCGCAGGCCTATACCATGTGGAGCATGAGCGGCACCCTGGAGCTGATCCCACGGGTGGGGGTGGGGGCGGAATAGGGGGAAGAGGAAGACCTTTTGTATCCTCATGTCAATCAGGCGTGGCCCACAGGCTGAACGGGGTTGGGATGAGTGGTGTGCTAGTCTGGGTACTTTAGAGAAACAAATCCACAGAACCTCATGTCTAAGAGAGAGTTTTATATAAAGGTTAGGTGCACATCAAGAAAACACCCCAACCCAGTGTGGCCCAAGCCTGCAAGTCCAACATTAACCCATATGTCCAACACCAGTCCACAAAGTCCTCCTCCATCTCACAAAACACACACTATGATGCCGACTGCAGGAGGAAAGCCGAGTCAGTGAATGTGTAAGCATCTCAGTACTGGCAGGGGTCTCCACATGGCTGCTCCAGCACCCAGGGCTGCATCGGGGGAGGTCCATGTGGCTTCTCCTCAGGGATGTCTCACAGGAAGTGAGCCTTGAAAGCTGAAGCAGGGAACTGGCTAAGGCAGCTGCACCCTGGTCCGACCATCGCAAAGCAAGAGACCCGAGAACTAGAAAGGCGAGCCTCACCAAGCCATTTATCGCTCCGCCCTTCAATTAACCCCACATGTGTTTATCGGCCATTTTGGCACAATAAACTAACTACTCAAGGGGTGAGGCAAAACCCATTCAGGTAACGGCAATTCTCCTGGGAACAGCTGTGAGCTATGTAACAGCTGGGGGTGGGTATGCTCGCCCTTGGGTAAAGTCCTGGTTCTGTTGCCAGGCAGCACACGGCACACTGTGGAATCAAGAGGTCAAAGAAGGACCTGCGTGAGAAAGTAGGAGGAAGTGAAAAGCTGTCCAGTTGGTGAGCGCCCCAAGGCCTAGCGGCAGCTCCTTCATGATCAGTGTCTTGCTAGGACGATCCCCCGATGGTACTTTTTCACCACACCTCCCCACCACAGAAACCTCAGAAGAGTGAGGGTGCTGGAAGACCTCAGGCTGCACTCAGGCTTGATGATACACCAGAAGGACTCACTGGACCGAGCTGATGAGCTCACACTTCTGGCTTATTATGCAGATCAAAGTCAGCAAGTCCGAGAGAACCAGGCAGGAGCTTCCAGGTGTCCCTTCCCAGTTCAGACACCCTGGATACTCCCATGAATGATGGGTCAGGTCGTGCCGAGGATGACCCATAAGGAAAGCTTATTCGAGTCTTGGTATCCAGGGTTTTTACAGGGACATGTGCTCATGTCACACTAGCTACTCCATCTCCATCCCACCCCACTCTCCCCAGGCCCTCGGGCATACCAGACCTACTCTTCAAGCAGGATAGCCCAAGGGCTGGAGGTTATATCCCAAGATCAAGGCAAGGGCCAGACCTACTAAAGATAGGGTTGTCTTTAGGGGCCCTGGTGGTATAGTAGTTACACATTGGGCTGCTAGCCCCAGGTCAGCAGTTTGAAACCACCAGCCACTCCTTGGGAGAAAAATGAGGCTTTCAACTCCACTAAAGAGTTCTCAGAAACATAAAGAGGCAGTTCTAGCCTATCCAATTGGGTCACGGCAACTCGATGGCAGTGAGAAACCAGGACCTGCTGGATGAACCCTTTACTCAATAGCGATGCCGGTCGGTCGTATTGTAAGGAGCCCTGGTGGTGCTGTCAGGTAAGCAAGGTTGGCAGTTTGATCCCATCAGTCACATCTTGGGAGAAAGTTGAGGCTGTAATATATGCTTCCAGAAAGATCTACAGTGTCAGCAATGCTCATGTGGTCATGGAGCCAGCGTTGACTCAATGGCGGTGGGATGGTTTGACACTGTGGTAGCTGGTGTGTTGCTAAGATGCTGGCAGTTATGCCACTAGTATTTTAAATCACAGCAGGGTCAACCGTCGTGGGTTTCAGCAGCGTTTCCTGAGTAAAGATAGACAAGGAAGAAAGGCCTGACCATCGAGTTCCAAAAATTAGCCAATGAAAACCCAATGGATCACCAGAGAAGAGTGCCAGGTCTCCATGAGTCAGCGCTGACAGCCACAGACAACAACAAGCGATCTGCAAATGTGTATGAGAGGTAGCCTAACAGGAACGTCGTGCCCAAACAGAGGCAGCACAGCTAAGGGCAGGCAGTCCTCGCCTCACCACAGGGTTCGCTTAACCGACCCCACGGTTAAACCCCTTCAGCTCTGAGTCAAATGCTTTGTTGGTTGTTGCTTTTCCTTTGGTTTGTTTTTGTTTGTTTACTTTTCGTTCTTGTCTCTTATCATCAACGACGTTATAGATCAGCTTCCTGTTTGTTGCTAGGGGTTGGAAACATGACACAGAAGCATGACGTAACAGTGTAGACATCGGCTGTAAACGTGTGTAGAACAGGCAGTCACCACCTTCGGGCGGGTTCCGTGCTGACCAACGTTCAGTGGAGCTCATCCCATCCTGACTGCGCTGTAAGTCAGGAACTGCCTGCATCCCCCAGAATTTATTTGGTACAACATGCCCACCTCCTTTTAAGCATATGTCGTGTTACTAAAATATCACAGTAATAAAGGCATGCACGAGGAAGCAGAGCCAATCTAACACCTGAGATTACTTTTCTTATTAAATCAGGGTCTGCTTAGCTGAGCCTGTCAATAGATATGCAAGCTAGCTCCCCGCTTCTTCCATCGGTATGGGGGTGCCACTGGGGTGCTGGTGCTACATGCCTGGTGGATGTCTTTGGAAAGTAATCATTTCCAGCTCACCAGCGCTCTACTGCATCACAGGGCAGGGGGCCTCAGAGTCAGTGGCCAAGGGGTCTCCCTGGCTGTGCACCTGCCCAGTGGAGAGGGGTTGTCACATGAGGCAAGAGTCAAGGTTGAGAACTGAGGGTGTCAACAACCAGGCTGAGCCATGGTCCAGGCTCCAACCTTCACACGATGTCAAAAGACACGGGAGATGGGATAGAGAAAGCAGTGTTTGGAATTGAATTATTCCCTCCTCTTGCCCCCACTTCAAAATATGAGTCCCGGTGACAGTGGGCAACATGTTAGGCTGCTAAGCTGAAGGCCAGCGGTTCGAACTAACCATCCGCTCTGAGGGAGAAAGATGAGGCCCGCAGGGGCAGATCTACCCTGTCCTGTAGGGTTACTCTGAGTCCGAATGGATTGAAGGCAATGAGCTTGGTTTGGGGTATTGGATGACTCCTAATCCCTATATGGGTGGATGGAATCCCACTTGGAAACAGGGTTTCCTTGGCTTTGCATCAGAAGCAGCATCAACACACCAAAAGGACACAAGCACAGAGGAGACCGTCAGAAGGCAGGAGGATCGACAAGCCCAGGAGCCCCAAGGAGCCCCAGCTCCTAGAAGCTGCCGTGGAGCAGTGGGTGACACGGTGTTGTTACATGCCTTCAAGTCAGCCCGACGCACAGCGAGCCGACGCACAGCAGAAGGAGACGTGTCCGATGCTGTCCATCGGGTTTCTGGGGGCTCGTCCTCTGAAGAAGGACAGCCTAGTCCTTCTCCATCGTCTGTTCTCCGTCTGGAAGCTCTGCTGAACCCTGTTCACTTGGGGTGGCCCTGCTCGTATTTGAAATACCAATGACGTCGCTTCCAGCAGCACAGCCACCGCAGCACGACAAACCACCATCATTTCGGAGTCCTCGGCCCCAGGTTTCCTTTACCTGCAGCTAAAGGCATCCCAGCAACTTCAGGGATTATTTGAAAGTCCCAATCCGTCTGCAATCTGGTCTCCTTCCTGTCCTGATCCAAGGAGTGGCTATCTGGGCTCCCAGTGGCTTGGCAGACAGTTGACGTAGTGCACTGCTCTCCTGTGAGTCCGAACCGACTCGATGGCAGTGAGTTTGGTTTCCGTGGACCCACGAGTTAACGCCAGAGACAGATGTCTGCCCAGCGATATGCCTGGCATGGCAAAGGACCAGACTTTTCTTCAAACACAGACCCCAAAGTTTCACACCACAGTTGAGTACCTGACTCTGTTTCAGACTTTCTATACAGCTTGTATGCTCCTTGTCCCCACTCCCTCCTCCTGCCACCGGGGAAAACCTTCTTGCATTAGTTTTGTGTCTTTAACTTATAATTCCCTAGCCATCCTAGCTCTCCAGCCTACTGTTTGGCATGTTGACACTTTGCCCCTCTCAGGAATACACACACACACACCACCACCACCACC